AGCAGGGATAAGTCAACGCCTAACACGTGTTGCCGGTTAGTCTTTTGCCGTGAAAAGGACAAAAGCCCACATATTCGATATTGTGGCAAGTCGTTATTCATAACGTCAAAATCCGTGCTTCACACGCGCGGGGAATTTTATCCCGAACCCTAAGTAGGGATAAGTCAACGCCTAACTCGCGTTGCCGGTTTAGTCTTTCACCGATTGAAAAAGACACCAGAGTATAATTCTGGGGAATTTTATCCCGAATCCTAAGCAGGGATAAGTCAACGCCTAACACGCGTTGCCGGTTAGTTCTTAACCGTAAAAAGAACGAAAGCCCACATATTCGACATTGTGGCAGGTCGTTATTCATAACGCCAAAATCCATGCTTCACACGCGCGGTGAATTTTATCTCGAACCCTAAGTAGGGATAAGTCAACGCCTAACTCGCGTTGCCGGTTTAGTCTTTCACCGATTGAAGAAGACACCAGAATTCCAATCTGGGGACTTTTATCCCGAAGCCTAAGTAGGGATAGGTCAGCGTCTAACACATGTTGTCGGGTAGACTATTCTCGTAACAATGGCGAAGTCTACGTATTCAATATCGTAGCATCAAGTCTAAGGGAGTTCATTCCTTTAGCACAACGTCACGTGCGGAACGGACTTAAACAATCCGCATGCAAGCCCGATTCAAACGGTAATCGGTAAAGGCACGCCAAATCCGTTGAAGGCTGAGGGTTTGCCAAAAACCTTAAAGTCTACGTCTGATACACGTCGCTGTTTAGTCTTTTCACAGGAGAAAGACGAAGTCTACGTATTCAATATCGTAGCACTAAAAGAGTTAACTCTTTTAGCATAACGTTACATGCGGAACGGACTTACACAATCCGCATGCTAGCCCGACTCAAACGGTAGTCGGTAAAGGCTTATCAAACCCGTTGATGGCTGAGAATTTGCCAAAAATTCTATAAATGCGAGTCATTGACGTATCAGCTTCATTAGTTGGTCTCATGACTTGAACATCCAACAAACTTCAGGATAAGATCCACACGTGCAGATGAATCAGCTTTAATAGTTGGTCCTGCAGCCCAACATTCGGGACCGTCACGCTCCAATGCCTTAAGAGTTTAAACTCTGTAGACTCCAGCAAACGTACGAATATAAACTGTGTTAACGCCGGTCAATGCGTTACAGTAAAGATCGATGCCGGTCAACGCATCAGCAATTTCGCCAAAATAAGGCAAAAGATGACTCCAAGGATTTTAGTTACAACCAGATATGAATTCCCGACGGAGAGGATCAGTTCGAAGTCAACTCAATGGCACGAGCTAAGTTCAGAAAGTTACACACCAATCTCAGTTCAAGATTTCGACAGCGGTCAGACGATAAACGCAGCGCCGGAAGAACTTTACCTATTCGACGAAACAATGAATAGATTGAAGACTGAAGAAGGAATTGAGATAGTTCAAGGTCACTCTACGAAATTGAGGAGATGGCCTATCTTATCCAAAGCATTCCAGACTCCTCTATAAAAGAATGAGTCTAAAATACTTTGGAGGGGGTATCTGTAGGCGTCTAAAAATACCTATGGGTGTCCGTACACGACTCGAGACAGTGAGAAGATGATAAACATCGCTATTAGAGTCGCAGGAGCTCGTTTGACAATGACAAACACATGAAGTGAGTCGACGGGTCATACGAAGCAACGGAACTTCGGAATAACGGAAACGAGAGCTGATCGGGAGCCCCACGTCATTTACAAAAGGCGGAGCACCCCTCGTGTCCTATTTATTCCACATATGATTCAATTATGGGAGCCTGTAGATCTCCTCGTCGGCTTTCCAACGCATCTTGAATCGTCTCATTCCGAGGTCGGATGAGTGAGTTAAGGCTGTTACAGTACCCGTGGGTCGGAATTCTGCTACAGTAGCGGGTCGGAATTCTACTACAGTAGCGGGTCGGAAAATCTGCTACAGTAGCGAGTCGGAATTATGCTACAGTTGCGGATCGGAATTTTGCTACAGTAACCGCGGGTCGGAATTTGCTACAGTGATTTGACCGCACAAAGAAGTAAAGTTTTGACTATGCTGTGATTTGAATCTGAAAAATCTCAAAACATAAAAGTTGTAGATCTCTTCGTTAGCTTTCCAACGCATCTTGAATCAGCCTAATCGGAGATTGTACGAAAGAGTTATGAATAAAATACCGCAGATATCTCAAACTGACCCGCGCTACAGTAACCGGGGGTCGGAATTTTCCGGCCCGCGCTACAGTAACAGCGGGTCGGAATTTTCCTGCGCGCGCTGTTTCGACCCCAGTTCGGTTTTCGACAGTTTTTCTCGGGATTTGGTCGTTCCTGAGCATCCAAACTGACTTGATATCATCCCCTAGCATGGTTAATCAGTTATTAACTGAAGATAGAGTCAAATCACTTGTTCTCATCCAAATAACCACTTCTGAAGCTTATAAATACGAGCTCGGGTGCTCATTTCTGAGGGGCGATTGATTATCAAGACGAGGAGGTGCTGCCGGATTGAGGAGTCAAGGAGCACGAATTTCAGCGAAGGCAAATCAGATCCTGGCGAACTTCGGCATAAAGAAGGAGCTATTCGAAGGATCTGAACCCCGTTCGTCCGTCCCTTGAGATTAGGCTTGGTCTTAATCTCGAGAAGAGCCCTGATTTCGCTTGGTCGATCTCAGCGCTTCAAATCAAATACTTCCTCGACGAAGGCGAAGCTCTGCCGAATTTTTCATCAACCGGATCCAGATCTAAGGTGGTCCACGGATAAACCCCGGCACAGGCAAAGAACCCACGCAAAGCAGCGGGTGATAAACGTCCTCTGCGTTTGTTTTGACGAGAGTTGTAAACTTTTGTTTTCATTGTGTAAAAGTCTTATAAAAAGACAATCTCTTTTTGTTTTCATTGTAACGATTGAAGTTGTAATGAATACCGCAATGAATACATTAATTTTCGACGCAAACAATACCGAGAGGTCCAGTGAGAGAGAGTTGGTAAGTGTATAGGAAAAATATACAATTATTTTATGATTATTATTTTATTATCATCCACTTACTAATAATCCTCTTTTGCTTTTTATCTTATAAGTACAAGAACTCGATGAGGCTGCTTCTATTACACGTGATGCATTGAGATAGACGTGAGGAACGACTCATAGGGTACGAGCATCAGTGGGTCTGAGGACACATGAGAGCGGGCTCAAGTCGTGCACATGATGAAGCTGGAGGCTCATAGCAAGCTCAAGCTGGAGGTTCACAGCAGGTTCAAGTCAATGAGGTTGTCATGCGCTCACAAGTTCACACACAACCAGACATTGAGATCATCCAAGCTCATGTTGAAGGCGAACAGGGAAGGGGGAGAGGAAGAAGAGGTAGAGCGAGAGGGAGAGGGAGAGCGAGAAAAAAAGAGTTCTAAATATTTATTAAATTTCGATATACTTCATATGATGTTTATGTTTGAAATACTATGATGTTTATGTTTGAAATGCTACTGTGACTTGATTATGGTTGGATTATTAGTAAGTGAATTAAATGTTATGTGCTTGTTAAAGATTTGTTATAGATGTAATAATTATATAAAGGTATGTGTTTATTTGTGTTTGAAATTGATTATGGATTGATAAATGTGTAGCAAGAGAGTTGGTGTTAAACTTGACAATTTTAGTCGAGGATTGATATATGTTAGCAATACATGAGATTTTTCAGCAAGTGTGGCCTGGAGGATCTCTGCTAATTGGTTAGGGTTAGGAACCTCGATCATTTCGTGCACGCAGTGCACGACATGGTCGGGGTTCCCAACCTCTACCATTTTTGTGTGGGGGCGACTCGGGCTCTACAAAAGGTCGAGGTCGGGAACCCCGACAAAATTAGTCCGGGTTACGAACCCCGACTTGTTTAATGGCCTAACCACTGATGGAGGGCAGAGATCGTCCTAATTAGTCGGAGTTGGCAACCCCGACTAATTAGTCGGAGTTTGGCCACGATGTTTACGTGGCCAGAAACTGGGCTGATTTCTGGAAATAACTTAGGAGTGGGTCGATTTAAAAAAAAATATTTTGGGGCTATTTTAAAAATTTCTTCTTTTGGCTAAATACCGGAAACCCCCTTAACTTTGGATGGTTATCAGATAACATATCATAACTTTCAAAATATCAAAAAGTCCTCTCAAGTTTAGGGGTTATCAGAAAACTTATAAACTTTAAAAAATTTACTTAAAAGATTTATTAGGAAACCCTCCTAATCAGCGTTAATCGCAGTTTTCACATTGATAAGAAAAAGTAAGTATGATAATCTTTTTGTCAGCGAAAATTAGAGTTCTCATCTAAGATTTTTTGAAAAATTGAAGTTCACGCCTTTATAAAACAATTTTTTAAGAAAAATATGAATAAAATTTTTAGTAAAAAAAATATTTTTTTCTAAAAAGGAATTATTTATATTTTTCATTGAAAATAAATCATAATAGTCTATTACATAAATAATAGAATTTTAAAGGAAATTCAGTAAATCAAACCTAGTAAATTTGTTAAACACAAAATTAAAGACTAATTTGGATTATTAGATAAATTACCTTCTCAGAGATAGCATCTTGCACAATTAAAATATCACTGGTGATTGCATTGATCACCTCTCCAGTTGAAGCCTCAGTATCAAACACACTTATATCTTGATCAAGCAATGACCTTAAATATGCTAGCCTCATTTTTGCTGCTTGCCTCTCTCCAGTGTGCATCCAACATGCAACCTCTAATAAAATCATAATTAGTAATAAATTAATTAATTACTGTTGGGAAAAAATAATACTTTAACTCACCAGTCCACGACGAGAACAGCGTAACAATGCTCAAATAAACGAAATCCAACGAGCACTACAAAACAAAGAGAAAGATAATTAAAGATGAATTAGTTGTGGATAGACCCTGACCAATTGCGGATTGACTATCTATAGTTCTAAGAGCATGCATCTCCAACAAGCTCCTAGTTGGGAGTCCTTGTTGGAGAGCTCTCAAGGCCTCTCAAGACATAACCCATCATTTTCAATACTACATCACATGGGAGACCTCCTAACTAATGTTGATCTCCAACAAACTCCTAGTTAGGAGCTCCAACAATATAAAAAAAAACATTTTCTATTTTAGTTTTGTTACACATTACTTTCAATTATATTTAAACCTCTTTTATTTAATTCCACCGATAACCGACAACAGACAGATTCATATCCGTTGGACACGGTCTTCGAGGGAGCATGCACTTTCACTGACAACTGACAGATTCCTATCCGTTAGGCATGAAGTTCGAGGTATCGCGCACTTTGACCGTCAACCGACTAATTCCTATAAAATTCGACGCCTTCTCACCTCAACCCATCATCTCCCACAACAAAATGTCTAGCTCATCTAGCTCAAGTGATGATGAAATGATGAAGGTGTTCTTTCTTTTTGGACCGCGTGTAAGCCTTCTTCTTCTTTGTGGTCGGTGTTTCTTGGGATGACACTTGTTGTGTTGCCGATTGTGAGAACTCATGGATGGGATGACCTTCTTCTATGACGTCTGTGTAGAACGGCGGGTATAAGGCCGATCCTTCACCGGTAAGGAGTTGCGAATAAAAGTTTTAGGAGGGATCCATAAGATTTATAATTTGATAGGAAAATATAGATTTTTTTTATGAGAGAGTTGTATGGAATGATTTGTGTAGTGAATTGAGTATTTATAGAATTTTTTTACTGTTCATGCCAATTTTTTAAATCTTAACGGCTAATTTTTAAACGGCTAATTTACTGTTCATGCCAATTTTGAAAAATCTCAACGGTTAATTTTTAAACGGCTATTTCTAAACTGGGCTCAAAGGTAGGGGGTTTTTTGTTTAATTTTTTTTTTCAATAGCTGGGAGCTCCCAAGCGTTCTACAAATTTGTGGAGCGTGTAGGAGCTCCGTGGCACAAGCTCCTAGGCTCCGTGCCACGCAGCCCAAGGAGAGGCCTTGGGAGCTTGCTGGAGCATCTGCAGCAAGCTCTCACCGCCATTTTTGTTTTTGCCTTTAAACCCAATTTCTAAAATACAGTATATACAGCACTTGTATTTATACATAAATATGATAAAAAACCCAACATACCCCTTTCAATACCCCACTTAAACCAGTCCCCCCTCTCTCTCTCCTCATTTGCCTTCTTCCTCAAATCTTCGTCTTCCTCCTTCTTCCTCAAGTCTTTGTCTTCCTCCTCCGATCCCACCTCTCATGCCCCCTCCAAGAAATCGAAGAAGAAAGGAAGAAAGGACCATGAAACCAGTCCCCCATCTCTCTCCTCATATAAACCAGTGCCCAGTGCCTCACTCTCTCTCCTCATTTCCCCCTTCTCAACTCTCTGCCCTAATTGAAAAACTGAAACCCCCCATTCTCGTGACCGTCTCCGTCACCGTTGCCGTCATCCTCCGTCGTCGCCGTGAGATGTCTCTCGCAGTCGTCGTCGCCTGTCGTCTTCGCAGTGATCAATCACCGTCGTCGTTGCCCGTCATCGCCCGTCGCCATCGCCCGACTCAGCTCTCATCGACGACTCCGTGCTGGTGAGCACCATTGGAAATTTCATTGGATTTTTTGACTTAGTTGGAGAGAATTGGTTTTGTACCATACGTAAGGTGCTTTAGATTTTTAGTTAAAGCAATCTCCCTGTACGAAGATGATTACAAGTCGATTCCAAGAATAAAATACCATTTCATTTGTAAAAGGGGAATCACTAAGTGTGAGTTGTTTCAGATGCGCACTAAAATGTATTTTTACTTTCTCCTCAGCTGGACTAGGGTGGATAACTTTCTGAGTATGATGAACCAATGACAGCGTTTACGATGAGAAATAATACAGCTTAAAATTTCTTCTTTACCTCAATGTTGAACTATGTTGTTGCATTTCTTGGTATGATGAGAATCAGGTGATTATGAGTATTTTTCTTGAAGTTTTGGACGGACAGATAGATAGCTCTATGTTTTTGCTCATCATCACCCATTTGTGCATGTGTTATATTGATAGTGCAAACATTTGAACTTGCAGTAGCTTGGATTGCGGGGTGTTCTTGATGGCATACATGTTTAGCCTCGTTTCCGGGCAACCAATGTCTATTAACCAAAAGGATTGTGCAAGACATAGAGCTCGTATCGTTGCTCTATTTCTATCTGAAGGTATATTTTCGTTAAGTGTAATGTTCATTGAACCGCTTATATTTGCTCTATTATTCTTTTGATCCGCTTATATTTTGCTTTCAGGAATCTTCAAGACCAATTCCCTGAATGCTAGATGCCAATTGTGATATCCAATATTTGTTTTGTAAAGTATTTGTATAAATATATTTTTGGGTCGTTGTATATAGTTTGTCAATTGCATTTGAATTTGAATGGCCGTTGTAGTGTGTTTTTTGAGTCTGCACTTGAATGGCCGTTGTATATGGTTTGTCAATTACTTTTGGGTCGTTGTATATACTTTTCGGTCGTTGTATATAGTTTGCCAATTGTGATGGTCTGGTTGGTATTTTACTTGATCTGGTTGGTATTTTAGTTCTGTTGTCCGCATGAATTAGGTGCTCTGGTTGGTATTTTAGTTCTGTTGTCCGCATGAATTAGGTGCTCTGGTTGGTATTTTAATGTTTTGTCAATTGCTTTGGTTGATGACAAGCTGAGGAGCTAAACAGGATGTTTGCCAAGACTTGGATCATTGCATTATTTGTTTTGCATTAAATCATTGTAAGTGTAGTGGGTTATCCTGTAAGTGTAGCGAGTTACACTGTAAGTGTAGTGAGTTACATTGTAAGTATAGCAGGTTATCCTGTAAGTGTAGCGGGTTACACTGCAAGTGTAGCGGGTTATCCTGTAAGTGTAATGTGTTATACTGTAAGTGTAGCGGGTTATACTACAAGTGTAGGGGGTTATCCTCCAAGTGTAGCGGGTTATCTTATAAGTATAGCGGGTTATACTGTAAGTGTAACGAGTTACACTATAAGTGTAGCAGATTACACTGTAAGTGTAACAGGTTATCCTGTAAGTGTAGCGGGTTACATTGAAAATGTAACGAGTTACACTGTAAGTGTAGCGGGTTACACTATAAGTATAGCGGGTAATCTTGTAAGTGTAGCGGTACCACACTGAAGTATAGCGGGTTACACTGTAAGTGTAGCGGGTTAGATTTTAAGTGTAGCGTGTTATGCTGTAAGTATAGCGGGTTAGACTGTAAGTGTAGCGGGTTATCCTATAAGTGTAGCGGGTTAGACTGTAAGTGTAGAGGGTTATCTTGTAAGTGTAGCGTGTTATCCTATAAGTGTAGCGTGTTATCCTGTAAGTGTAGTGTGTTATCCTGTAGGTGTAGCGTGTTATCCTGTAGGTGTAGCGGGTTAGACTGTAAGTGTAGCGGGTTATCCTGTAAGTGTAGCGGGTTAGACTGTAAGTGTAGCGGGTTATCCTGTAAGTGTAGCGGGTTAGACTGTAAGTGTAGCGGGTTATCCTGTAAGTGTAGCGGGTTAGACTGTAAGTGTAGCGGGTTATCCTGTAAGTGTAGCGGGTTATATTGTAAGTGTAGCGGGTTAGACTGTAAGTGTAGCGTGTTATGCTGTAAGTGTAGCGTGTTATGCTGTAAGTGTAGCGTGTTATGCTGTAAGTGTAGCGTGTTATGCTGTAAGTGTAGCGTGTTATGCTGTAAGTGTAGCGTGTTATCCTGTAAGTGTAGCGTGTTATGCTGTAAGTGTAGCGTGTTATGCTGTAAGTGTAGCGTGTTATGCTGTAAGTGTAGCGTGTTATCTTGTAAGTGTAGCGGGTTATATTATAAGTGTAGCTGGTTAGAGTGTAAGTGTAGCATTTTAGACTGTAAGTGTAGCAGGTTATTCTGTAAGTGTAGGGTGTTATTCTGTAAGTATAGCGGGTTATTCTGTAAGTGTAGCGTGTTAGACTGCAAGTGTAGCGGGTTAGACTGTAAGTGTAGCAGGTTATGCTGTAAGTGAAACGTGTTATGCTGTAAGTGTAGCGTGTTATGTTGTAAGTGTAGCGGGTTATCCTATAAGTGTAGCGGGTTATATTGTAAGTGTAGCGGGTTATCCTGTAAGTGTAGCGGGTTAGACTGTAAGTGTAGCTTGTTATGCTGTAAGTGTAGCGAGTTAGACTGGAAGTGTAGTGGATTATGCTGTAAGTGTAGCGGGTTATGCTGTAAGTGTAGCGGGTTAGAGTGTAAGTGTAGCGGGTTAGATTGTAAGTGTAGCGGGTTATTTTGTAAGTGTAGCGTGTTATGCTGTAAGTGTAGCGGGTTAGACTGCAAGTGTAGCGGGTTAGACTGTAAGTGTAGCGTGTTATACTGTAAGTGTAGCGTGTTATGCTGTAAGTGTAGCGTGTTATGTTGTAAGTGTAGCGGGTTATCCTGTAAGTATAGCGGGTTATATTGTAAGTGTAGCGGGTTAGACTGTAAGTGTAACGTGTTATGCTGTAAGTGTAGCAGGTTATATTGTAAGTATAGCGTGTTATGCTGTAAGTGCAGCGGGTTATACTGTAAGTGTAGCGGGTTATCCTGTAAGTGTAGCGTGTTATGCTGTAAGTGTAGCGGATTAGACTTTAAGTGTAGCGGGTTATCCTGTAAGTGTAGCGGGTTAGACTGTAAGTGTAGCAGGTTATATTATAAGTGTAGCGGCTTAGACTGTAAGTGTTGTGGGTCAATGCACAATACAATTCTTCATCCATCTATCTATGCTTATCATTAAAAATAAAACAAATTTAAGGAAAATTACAACTAAAATCAAATTATGTGAAATTAATCAAAGATTATGTGAATTAATGAGTGATCGAATAAAATCATGAATAGTAACAAATGTAACTAACAAATTTAACTAAAAATATAAAAAAAATTATGTCAATTATGTGAAATTAATCAAATATTATGTGAAACTAATTTTTATGAATTCAGGATTAATAATGAGAAATTAATGTGAACTAATAATGTCAAATAATTAATTAACGTGAAATTATGTTCAATTAATGAGTGGTTGAATAGTAACAAATGTAACTAACATTTTTATCAAATATAACAAATTTAACTATTTTTTATGAATTCATGAATAACAATTTTAAATGATTTTTATTTGTTATACTGTCAAATATAACAAATTTAACTAATTTACATGAATAGCAATGTCAAATAATTCATGAATAAGAGGATGAATTAATGCAATAAACTTGGTAGATGAGTAAATTGAAAATTATACCTTCAATTGTTAAGAAAGTGATGAATATCCACTAAAATCACACCATACACATTAATGGAGTTGAGAATTTAATGAAGGATTGATAAATGGGTGAAAATTAATTGATGGGTTTAATGGAAGAATGTAGTATTAATGGATGGGAGAGGGAGTTAATTAGGAAATGGAGAGAGAGAAAGGGAGGGAGAGAACGTGATTTATTTCCCGCCCTTTCAGACCTCTCCCGTGCGGGTAGAGGAACAGGGGAACGTCTCTCTCTCTCTCTCTCTCTCTCTCTCTCTCTCTCTCTCTCTCTAATTTTTTAATATTTTACATTTTTAAAGGGGCCCACCTAATAAAGAACTCATTATTAAACTGTAAAGGGTAGAGTTGGAATTAATTCAAAAATTTTGGGGGGCCCACACTTACAAGTATTGTATTTTGTAAGTTGGGTTTAAAGATAAATACCCAAAGATCTTTGGGTTTATGGATACATAAAATAGTAAATGGGTTTATAGGTAAAGATGGATAATCATTTGGGCCTAGAAATAAAAAACCCTTATTTCTAACTCTTTAAAAAGTCAAAAAAATTTAAATAGAAATATGATGCATGGGTCTAATAGCTAGTAAAGTCAGCAAACATTAAGATCTAAGACGTTCTAAAGCTTGTGCGCATCACGTGGAAACTTTCGGAGGAAAATTCTCATGCTCGCATAGCACAAATCAAAGTGCAAAATTTAGAAATTTTAGGGTATATAAATGCTGCTAAACACAACTGAGGGTTTATAAGTGCAAACTTGGGGGAACTATTTAGAGTATGTAAGTGCTAGTTAGCCTTAATTAAAGATCGATATATATAGCTGCGACGAAACAAACAACTGCAACTGTAAATGTAATTTTCTGAACAATATTATATCACCTTAGCAACTCTATCTGTGACTGTGGTTGGGAAGAGATAAGCAATCCCCATGATGTTGATGAGCCTGCCAAAGAAAATGAAGAAGACAGGGACAGATGCGCCATGGACACAAGCTCCCAGCGAGCCAATGGCCATGAGGAGATAATCCCATGAGTCAGCAAAGCTGAAGAGCTTCAAGAATGGGACTTTTTGAACCTTTCTGCTTTCTTCTTCATACCTTGCTTCGTTTTTCTTGTGTCGTTGGTCCTCACGTAGGCTGCTCATTCTCTTCTTGTGTTGAAATTAAGATTGATCAGGATGAGAGCCTTAAAGGAGTGTAGTATGTGTTGAAGAGTGTGAGCTACTTATACCAGCACAAAGGCATGAATTGTAAAAGAGAGAAAATTTTCTTTTCTTTTTTCCTTTTTTTGTTCTTTTTTTTGCGCTGTTGACAATGGACGCAGAGAAGTCTGCTTTTTCAATCACAGCTGCCTGTTAATAGGTGAGAGGGTCAGTTTGACAACTCTCTCCAAAATTATTATTTTTAACCGTGCATTCTGGACAGGTGGAGGTGTCGATTTTGAACTGGTTTACGACAAAAAATTGTCCTGACAAGATTAATTTTAAGTCTTGGTCCAGCTATTTATCAAAGTCAAACTAGGGTTAAGAAGAGTTAAAACTGTTTTTTTTCCTCTAAACCAGCTCGATCAATTTGGAGTCGCTCGACGACAAGGCCTACGAGAAACTATATAGCGTCAAGAACCAATGCAAAACAAAGAGGCATGTTTGAAACTTAGTGTAACGATATGAGTATTTTTCTCTCCTTAATGCATCAACTATCCAGTAAACAGAATTTGCTGGACAATAATATTTTCATATCCAACCCAAATCTAATACTTGTGATGTATCTGGGATTCATTCCTTTTGTTTACTCGAGACGAAACATGATCATCCGTGAAATTAAAAAAACCGGCTATGATTGATGAAGGAGCTGAATCATATATTAAGTTTCTGTACTGAAGTACAGGTGAGGTGACTAGTTAGGTGTGGAGTATTAATTTCAGGATTAATGAAGAGCGAAGAAATGATGGACGGCTTCTATATTCAACTGCATGCGCACAGTCACAGCAGACTAGCTAGCGAACAAATGCAGCTTTTAATTTTCAGGTGAAGTACCATGGATTTTCTAGCGTTTGGCATGAAAATTTGAGAGCTTGTAGGTTCTGCAGGCGGCATCAGTTAATGTCTGAAATAGGAGTTAGGGTTGGACCCCTTATATTGTGCCCTTGTCAATGTTGTCATCAGAGGTGGTTGTTAATAAATAAATAGCTTGACAATTATGTGTTTGGTTATTCTTTACAACAATAGCTTGATAATTATCTAGAGGTGGGTGTTGATCAATAAATAATAGCTTGATAATTGTATGTTTGATTTTTCTCTTTATGTTGTCATCAGAGGTGGTTGTTAATCAATAAATAGCTTGATAATTATGTGTTTGATTATTCTTTATAACAATAGAAAGCTTGTAAAATCTTTAGCTCGATCCTGTTGGTACTTTATATGCTAAATTTCTCATATGTACCCTAATTTTTACATATATATATTTAGTTACTAATAATAAATTTCATCAATATTTTAGAAACCAATATAAACTTCAGAGGGGTAAAAAAAATACCTGCAAATATCAACCATGCAGACAGCATGCTCACGCTTGCACCGGCAGTGGATGCGCTGCTCCCGCGCATCCGCAACACATCACATCAAATATCTTCTCCACTTTGTAAAGCAATTAAACACATTTGGCGTTTCTTTTATTTTTCCCATTTACCTCCCAAATTTGTACAATATAAAATATAAAATGCATTTTAAATCTCTATCAGGCAAGAGATTAGGAATTTCTTGCTTTAACGTAACATCCCCAATACGTAATAAAAGTTTGCCTAAAAGGGGGAAAAGGAAAGAATTTGGATACTCTCCGCTACAAAAATGTAGGGGAGAGACCACTACTTTTAATCTCAACTGTTAATTATTTAGTAGCCGGTTATGGTACATTCAAAATCTAATAGTCACCATATATACCTCTGTATATTGCACTCATTCCTAATTTGCACTAAAAAATCACAATCACCGATTAAATAATTAATGGTTGTGATTATGTAGTAGTCTCTCCATTACTTTGTTGGTAGTAGAGAGGATTTGAATCCAAAAACAAAGTAAGAACAATCCATCAAAGAAGATAGTACATGATTACAATGGCACGTGGAGCCACGTATAGTGAAGTGTGGGCAAATTTGCTACCACTGAAATTATCTTATTTTTGAAAGTGAACCTAAATATTGTCTTAATTTTGGCCCTGGTTTTAGTTGTTCTTGAAACATATCCTTAAGATTGCTCCCACAGTTAGCTATCAACATCATTATCTCATGGGGTCCTGACTCCGTCATTGACCGCAAAATATGACCGAACAAACAAAAGGAAAACACTATTGACACACCCCTAACCACACCTTGGGACACACCTCCTCTTCCAGCTACAATGAAGGGGCTCACTTTAGATTTTTTAAAAAATCTAAAATGGGCCCCGTGCACTGTAGCTGAGAGAATAGGTGTGCCCCAAGGTGTGGCTGGGAGTGTGCCTGTAGTGCCACTCCAAACAAAAACTCAACACAAAAGCTAATATCTATGAACATATTAGTCCTGCACTACAAAAAAAAGAAGAGTTAGGGGCAATTATTTTCGTCACTTTTAATTCAATTAGAGGCAAAATAAATGGAATTATACTCCAGTACTTTTAGTGATAATACTCCACTTTACGGCTCCGCATGTTGAATGCCCTTTTATGGGTAGAAACCTAGACTCGTGAGCTGTCAATTTTTAAAAATTTTGCTTTCAATTCGTAGCCTGTTGGATTTGTACATGAGTTGCTCTTGTACCATGTTAAAATTTCTAGCAAATTATATCAAAACTTTAAAATTGTGATAAGAATTGAGAGTAATAGAGAGTAATGCTTTTATATTTTAACAATAGGAACAATGTTTAAACATAGAGAAATTAATGAATGGTTACCTATTAACAATAATTGGACAGAGAGAAATTAAATGATGGTTACCTATTAATTAACAATAATTAGTTGTGGTGAGAACTGTAGAAGAGCAATGGCAATGGGCTCTACCTACGGATAACACAATTTAATGCAGCATGTGGGAGAGATAGGAAAAATATTGGACTTCAAGCACTTTAATAGATCTCACTGTAGTTACCTTATATAACATAAAATAACGAGATAGTGACTGGGAAATAAATTAAGACATGACATTCTTTGTCTGATTGTGTAAAAAAGGTTATGGTGTGATAGAGGGCCATAATTTAATACTATAACACGTGTGTAGTTTGTCACCTGAAACCTGAATTGACATCGAGATATTATCTTTTTTAAAAAGCTGCTTTAGTTCATGGCAAGGAAAATTAAACCTGAGTTACTTTTGTCGCGCGCCTTTGCGGAAGCCTTGCACGAACTCACAACGAACCTGTGATCACGAGTAGAAGAAAGCCAAACACTTGCACAAACCAAGCCAATTACGACAAATCAAACCAAACACAAGGATATACGTGGTTCGGCAATTGCCTACGTCCACGGGGAGAGGATGGGGAGATTTCACTATATGGAGGAGAAATACAACGGGTTACAACTCACAAAATCACTCAAATATAACCCTAACCAAAGCTCTCAACTCCCTCACAATATCTCCCTCTCAAAGTGCTCAAAACAATGCTAAATCTCTTCTTTTCTCTCCTTAAGAAACCCTAAAAAACGTGGTCCTATTTATAATAAAACACAATCCCAAACAAAGGAGGATTCCTCAACAAATAAGGATTCTAAAAACGAGTCTGCAGTTTAAAATCCTATTAACAAAGCAATTATCCTTTCCCACACAAATAGACATCATGTTAGCATGTATTATATTGCATAATTATATTACAATTAAGGGTGCAGAAGATGATATGTTGAATGAGAATGTTGTCCTTGAAGAAGATAGTGCAAATGAAGGTGATCCAAACATAGTCGACTTCACCCAAACTAGAACACAAACAGAGGATAGAGATGCTAGAAGTGAATGTAAGTTTCTTATGAATGAAAATAATTGGGCTTTGTGGGTGGATTATTGTGCAAAGTATAAAGGCAGCGGCACAATGGAGAGTGGCACATAGAGTCTTAATGATATTATAATGTTGGTTTATTGATGTGATGAACTTTTTCATCGTAGTGTTTTTTTATGATAATGTACTATTTAGTGGTAGGTATTTGAAGGCATTATAGTGTTTTTTTACAATCTATATTGCATGATTTTCATTTAACTTAAAAGCCTTATTTCATATTATTCTTGAAGCATATAGATATGAATGACAATGGTTTAACAGAACACCCCTCTCCTTCAAATGTAATGCTAAAAACTTTAAGGGGTGTTCCTACCATGAACTTCATGCCCACTCAACCTTTGACATTCACCCAACCTCCTAATGCTTTCACAAGTAGCCTCCATATGCATGTAATTATTTTGGCATGGCTCAGGCACCACACAACTACATCGACAAGTGAACCAGTCCTCTTCCCATCCAAGTACCCTCCTATAGTTCCCTAGGTGGTGCCCCACATTACATGTCAGTAATCGATGGTGAATCTACTGGTCTTAAAAGGAATCTTAGTGATGAAATATAGGAGATATCACTGACTAAAAGAAATATGACAGGTAAAAAATGGAAGTCAACTACAAATTCCACTTTGAAATTAAGAGGAGTGTGTAACAAGAAATGGGTGCTAGAGCATGATGCGGTGCCTATCCCGTATCTTACAGAACTAGCAAAGCAGGACATGAAGATTGATAAAAACTTCAAGAAGGCTGCGTATAACATGACAAGTATGTAAGTTAAATCTTTTTCTCAAAAATTTATGAATTTACTTCAATTACATTTAGAAGAATATGGCGCAACATTTACAAAAAGAAGAAGCATACAAACAAATACTAGCATCATTACAGAATTCTTCCAATAAAAATAAGCTGACGCTCTATCAATTTCAATTGTTTCTTTAAAACCACCATGAGGGGCGGGTCTGTCTGATGGTGCATTTTAGCGGGCGGATCTCCTTGCTAACGTGCACCGCCGCCTGGATTCAATGAGGAAGAAGAAGAAGAGTAGTGGCAAGAGTGTACTCAGTAGTGAGCTCAGGGATTCAATGTTTGTTTTTCCTTCTTCTTCCATCCCTGATGGCGAATCCAATGGAACAGTAGAAGCAGAGGATAGTGAGGGATCTTCCAGCAGGATGATAATGGAGAGTACTGGTCCTAAGGGGGCGAAAAAGAAGCTGCTAATGGATGAGATTCTTGCTAAATCTTGCTCGATCTCTGATCCTCAACAAGTGAGATCTGGAGGTACTCTTTCTAATCTTTGGGCCGATGAGGTCGATGAGG